CCGCTGTTACGTTTTTACTGCGTCGTTCTGGTAGCACGTGAGGGGACGACGATTCTACCGGTGTTACCGGCGCTGTAACTATATACAGTCTTGACGTTAGACCGCGTCGTGTGCAGTACAACACACACATCGGAGTTTTTACCGAAAGGAAACCATTCTACGATATTTTTTTTTCGGTAAGCGAAAAATTGCGTCTGCGGATTAAAGTTATTATCGGAGAGAATACAGAATCAATTTAACAGAGTGCTGTTGCTCCGCGCGTATTGTAGGTTTTTTTCCCCACATGTGAACATTAGACAAATGTATTTTCTAGATATGTAGCTATTTTTTATTAATGGCTGTTTTTTCTCTTCGCAAAAACTTCGTTAATTCTCGGAAATTTTTCTTCTCTAAAAGCTTTAAATTAGCAATTGTATAATTATTTCCGATTTTTATTTGTATATATTACGTTTAATTGTATTTAGTCAAATGGATCGTATATTTCGCAGTAACTCGCTTCACTATAATTAATTAACCATATGTATTCATCATTAGTAAACCGGAAGCAAAGACGCGCTATCGCCCGACGTGATCTCGCACGTCGCACAGCAAATATATACATAAGGCAAGTTACACTTGGAACTTCTTCAATTAAATTACCATTATTTCCATTGCAAGATGCCAGTGATAATACATTACGCCGTATCCTTTCTGCACTTTCAGGAGTGTATTACCCGGGTGTATCCTTATCATCTTGAGAACACACACAACCGCACGGCACAGTTCTCTACGCGCGATAAACCTAATAGAATTTCGCGCGAGGGAGACACGATGGCAGCTTGTACGTCGTAAAACGATGCGCCGCGAGTTTATAGTTTATAGTTCGAGTGCCTACGCGGCCGTATATGATTGAATGAAGGGAGGATTTAAAAGGGATCGCGCTTTTATGAGAGCTATTAGAGACGACGGCATTAAAATGCCGCGCGCACGATTAATTTTACACACTTTCGCAATTTTACACTAATTTCAGTAAACCGTTTCTATACGATTTGATAAAAAAATAATCGTAATTCGCTCGAGCGTGTGCGCTGAATGCACGAGAATTTGTACACGAAGCGCCGCTTACTGAAAGAACTGCGCGTGATGCGAATAATTATTGATACTGGATTCCATATTAAATTAATGCGGCTAAATTTTCTCAATTTTTAACGCGAGTTAAAAGATGACAAGCGTGATATAATAGATCCATTAATCTCAAGTATAAATCGATTCTTGTTTTTACAAGTACAAAAGAAATTGCACGCTACTGCAAGGATATAAAGTATACGAATCAAGGCACATTGAGTGTAGCTTTTACGCGAGTAATGATTATTACAAGAGTTGTTACCGGTAATTTAACGTGTCAGCGATATAATTTCCATTGATGTGAAAATATCGGTGTGAGAAGTGCGACGAAGATCGGAGGTGATCATCCACTTTATGTGTTTACGAAATGCAAGACAAGCTCGAGCAAGAGCACTAAATTGAAATACCAAGCAGTCCGCGCGACCCACGCATGTCGAGGAGGAAATACGCGCGCCGCGTCCTCCGCGAACGCAGATACGGATCTACGATCGTTAGGGAGAGCGAGGTGAATCATAAACTTACCGATCGCGACGGCTCCCGCAGCCGTTATCGGCGATAAGCAAGAATTCCCGCGCGTCCGCATTGTGTAACGCGCGGAGCGCGTCGGTGCGCGCTCGTGCGCGGCGCGCATCTCTCGGAATAATAACAATGCCCCGCGGGCCGCGAAGTCAATGTGGAGCAGCTGCGATCCACGTAATGAAAGTATGATTGATGATCCGACCGACGTGCATCATTAGCTCGACACGGAGGAGCGCACCGAGGTGGATATGCATGCCTGCAAGTCCCGACGAGTCGTACACCGTCGTCGCCGTCGCCGTCGTCGTCTCGAGATGCATTCTGAATTAACGTGACTTCGTCCTAATACGATTTCTCGCGGGGCTCGCGTGAGAAAAGTCATGGCACGATTCGAGAATACGTGTGGACAGACAGCGCTATGCTCGTGGGATTTCTACGTAATTAATAGGCGGGCGTGCTGCAGAAATGAGAAATTTGACGAGTATGAGAAGTAAAATATTACCGCACGCATTTGTTAACAGCTTTTTACCTTCTGAATAAACATATTTGCGCTTTTTAGCGCAAGTATTTAAATTGAAATTTGATTATGGAATTTAATAATATTCAACATTGAAGGGGAAAAAAGTTGCAGAATTACATTTGTATTTAATGACCGATGAAATTAATATCTGAAAGCGTTTTCATCACCAGCGTAAAACGCGCAGCCGTTCAAAGGAGAAATAAACTATTTTAGCGACCACCGATCGCGGGGGGACCGGGAGCGTTTGAAAGATACATTTATCTCGCTTCCGTTGGAACAAAATCTGCCCTGGGGCCTAATGCTTCGGCTATTAAGCTTTAATGGACTGCTGATCGTCGGTGGAGAGCAGGAAAGAAGCGGGTGAGGAAGGGACATGATCCAGGTCTCCGAGGAATTGGAAAACTGGTCGGAGCCGCGATATGTACGAACGGTGGACTTTCACAACAGCTCTTTCTCTCTCCGTGTCCATTTTCCACTCACGAAAATACTCCGCGTGTCATTCTCCAGCCGTGATAATCGAGCGGGATGATCTCGCGTAACGCCATCGATTTCAATCGCGCGCGAAAGGTGCGCTCTCACCGATGAAGCTGGTTTTCCCGGTTGGCGAGCGGGCGAGAAAACGGAGGCGGCGGCAGCGGCGTAGGCGGGCGGAAGGGCTGGAAAGGTCACGGGTCGCCTGTTTGCGGCGCGATGGAGCTGTGATCAGGATTGACTCGGGATGATAATCTGGCGTACACGGGTTTCCACTTTACCCGATGCGGACGACGACGTTCGGGTCGCCGTGCTCCCGCTCTCCTCGTCCCCCGGGCCCAACCCCCTTCCGCCCCGCTGCCGTCACCCTCGCGAATATCCCTTTAGCTAGCGCTCGAATTCGCTGGTGGCACGTATGCGCCGCGATTATCGATGTCGCTGACTCAGTGCAAAGAAAGCACCGCTCGATGGCGTGGGTGGACGTCAATTTATTATTTGTCGTGGATACAACGGGAAAAGTTATTGGTACAAAGTTTTGGAATTTCGCCAGGATAAAATTCTGCGCGTTCTCTCCGCGCGAAGGTTACGCGCGGCAATTCGCATTATCGCGATCAGCTCGCGCTACATACCGATCCCACCGATAACATCGTCCGCGAGGATTGAATAAAATCTGGGGAGCGCGGAGAGACGTTTATGGCGCTCTCAGGGAAAATTCTCACAAAGACATTCGGGCGTTTAGTGCACTTTGGTGCACGATACGTCTTTCATCCGCTTACAAAAGCACGAGTAGTAGACTGCGGGCCATCATTTGCAGAAGCCCGTGAGAAGCGCGTGCGTCAACTCGAGGTAGAGATGTGCAAAAGAGAAAAAAAAAGAGAGAGAGAGAGTGATTTCTTGCTATCCCAGAGTGCGCGTTCCGTGGATACGTTCGGATGGTGAATGGCGGATAAAGCGCCCCTAAAGCCCAGTTTCGGCAGAGCAAACAACCCGTAACTCAGTGAGTGTTTATGAGGGGGCCAGTCGTAAAAATACGGAGCGAATCGGGCTCTCTCTCTCTCTCTCTCTATTTCTTTCTCGCTCTATGTGTTTCGACCGTTTAGCCGGTCCACCCTCGTCGAACTTTTCCTCGGACGCTCCTTTCCGCGACGCTCGACGCGGGACAAAGAGACGGCGGCCGACCACGGATAAGGACGTAAGAAAAAGACAGGCCGTGGGAGGGCACGGCCGGTAGGGTGAGAGGAGTTTCCACTGCGGCGACGGGAGCATGTTCCCTGATCGTAAAACTCGGTCTGATCACCGCTACCAATTATCCCGCCGTTATCCGAGTGTTATCCGAACGTTATCCGGGATGTTATCCACCTTTGCCCACCCCGTACTCCAAGGAAGAACCCTCTCGCCATCATCCGAATCACTACCGAGCCCTTGAAACCTACCCGACAAAAAGAGAAAGCGAGAGAAAGAGAAAGAGAGAGAGAGGGGGGGGGAGGGAAGGGAAAATGGTTCCACCCTAAACACGAAGACCGTTTGTTGTCGCCTTTTACTGCAAACGAAGTGATTCTCTCCTCGTAAACGCGTCGTCTTTACAGATTACTCGGCGAAGAAATACCTTCCCTTGATATCGAATTTTCAGTTCTGTTGTATCGATCTATCGCGGAAGCGAAAGCTCTATTTTCGTACGTGAGAAGCGCGTCTTTATTTCACGTCTGTATTTCAGATTAACGGAATTAACTGAATTTTAAAAGAGAAATCTCTTTTTAATGTAATAGATTGCTTTATCATATATTCTTCACTTGATAAGAAGGTTTTAGTAGGAATCATTTTTCACTCGAATGCTGAAAGTTTGACCAAGGGATTGGCAGTGTGCGAGTTTATCTTCTGTCTCTTATTCACGCGAAGTGAAACTTTGTAATATTACTTTCTAAATCACGGAACGGAATGATTGTCGGGCATGATATTAATCAGACACGCAAAAGAGAAGTGAAATTCACATTTCCATCGCGTAATGACCGATAATCGAATCGCGAGGCGATTTGATTTGAAATGACGGATATTGCGGATGTACAAATATACGCTGCAGATTATTCGATTAAAGTGTTTCGTTTATTGAAGAATGCTACGAAGAATGTACGAGTATCTGTTACATTAGACATTAAAAATAATGTGGCCATTTTACATTGTAACTAATTGTCAATTATAATTTCTTTAAAAAATAAAGTACATTTTATTTTAAGAGTTTAGTAAAACTATCTTAAAAGGCACAAAAAAATCTTATCAGCATCTATTTCTTATAAAAATAATTTTATTTTATTTCAATTTAAACGCAACAATTTAGATGTAAATTTTGAAGAATTAAGACAACACTGAACTGTCTAATATGAAAAATAATTACTGTAAAAGTCGTGTACTTCATCCAAAGGTGGCACAATATTGTACGTGTTATGAAATTGTGTGTCATCTGTTAATAGATATGGAATCATCTTACCGGCTCGATTACTCTGGTCAATCATCGGTTGAACAATTCTACGTCTTGCATTGATAAACCTGAAACATAAATAAAATAAATTACGTTAATGATAAATTTGCCCAATATTTATAATTCAAAACAAAGATCCAATATATTATTTTAATAATCGTTCCAGTTTGCATATTATCATATTAGATTAAAATTCATTTTTTATTTCCGTAGAAATAAAAAGCCGTCTTATATTATCATGTTGCAAATATCTTTTGTTCCCTTCGCATGTTACAAGCGCTTTTATGTAAGAGAGCTTGTTCCAGCACGATCCGCTATCTTCGCAACAATCAAGGAAAAGCGAACAGCAACCGGCTCGGGAGATGAGGCGGGCGAAACCGGAAAAATCGGGTAAGGAGGAATCCTCGATACGTCATTAGCTGCGTTGAAGAAGCTTCCATGCGAGCGCTTTCCAAACAATAGATCTGCGGTCTGTTTCGATGTTGGTCGAGGTCCAAGAGAGCGGTGGGTTCAATACAGTGTGAGATAGGAACAGGCAGCGAGGAACGGCGGTGGAAAGAGTGAGAGAGAGAGAGAGAGAGGTAAGATGAGCGAGTGAGACGCAGAGAGGAAGGGCGTACGTCAGCCGACGTCAGCGTCGCGGCGCCCTAATGGGCGCAGACGCCGGAAGTGATTGGGTTTCTGCTCGACTGACTCGAGCACACCCCCTTCCCGCCGTGGAATACTACGGTTCCCCGCCAAGGGGGATAAGGAGGACGTAAGCAAGCCCCGAAGAAGCGATGGCACCCCTCTTGTTTTGCAGCACATCTTTCTTGCTTAGTCTCACGCCTGGCCGACTCCCAGGAGAGTCTTATGAATAATAATTATTAAACTCTCATCGCGTCTCGCTCTCGCCGCCGTATGCACGCGGCCATTGTCGCAGTCGAGGCGCAGACAGTGCCCGTAAAGTCGTTCGGCAAGTCGCCGTAAGTCAAAGGAGCTTCGTCCGACTGACTGAGTGACTTCAAAAACGATTAGCGTGCGCGTGCACCAAAGCGTGGACGCGGCCATGAATTTTGATAATATCATCGATCGGACATCCAAATGCGCGACAAATCACACTGGATTATATATCGTGATATCGACTGTAATATCGTAATTCCGTAATCGTGTAATGTGGATTTCGCATACTCTGATCTGATTCTCATTTTATCGGATTATAAAGTATCCGTTCTTAAAAATGGTCCTAGAATTTTAGAGATGACCTAGATTATTAAAATGTACATTTTGTTCATTATTGTATAGACACATAACAATTTTATACTACGAAAATTGGCCTAGAAATTTACAATTTACATTTCCTGCACTACGATGCATTGAAATTTTATATTTAAAAAAATGGTCCAGAATGTAAAAATGTACTCATTTTACTCATTTTTATGCTTTAAAATTTCATATCGTAACATTTGGTAGATTTATAATTTTGGAATTCACATTTTTCTTACTGCGATGCATTGAAATCTTATATTCTAGAACTTTAGATCACTTGCTTGTTTAAAATATAAAAATGCATCATCACAGTGAAAAAAATGTACATTCTAAAGTTGTAATCTGACAAATGTTATGACATAACATTAGTCATAAAAATGAATAAAATACACATTTAAGCATTAATGTACATTGTATTCCTTTTTATGCTTTAAGAGAGAAGAATTTTATATCACATTATTGAACTAATTTTATGTTCAGTCAATGGGATTGGCTTTTCAAAGAGATATCAGAATCATTAACATAATATGTCGATAGTAATAATATTCGAAACGAAGCTTTGTGGTGCAGATACAATGCTAGGTGTACAAAATCGCTTCAAAGTCAAGGCCTTGGCTATCGTTACATGAAAGAGTATCGCTGCATGAGTATGAAACTGTAGGCCCCTCTCTGGCCCCCGGATACTCCTAAGCGCCTCTGGTTCCTCTTTGGCGAGGTAGGCAGCGTGTCACAGCCAGCTGACTACCGCCAACCACCCCCGCCCTTCCACTCTAGCAGCCACCGCCGCCGCTGAAATATCGGCCCGAACAATGGCGCGCCACCCCCTAACCGAAACGAGAAAGAGAGAGACAGAGACGAAGAGACAGACGGAGAGGGACGAAAACGGTGGGCGACTGCCCAAACTCTCTCGCGAAGAGTTCGGCCGTTCCAGCGAAAATCAACGAAAATACTCGTATCTTCGCCACCGGAAAACTTAAGATGCGACAAAATTTCGATAACATATTGCTTCTTTTACATTAAAAAAATATTACATAATACAATTAAAAATTTAAATCAAAATAATTTTGACATAATTTTAATTTTATTTTTGTCGATAAGCAGTTTAGAAAAAAATAATTGAAATGTATATATTATAACTTAAAATAATTTATTAAAATACATACAAGTAAATTACTCTGATATTAAAATATTAATCGGTGCAAAATAGAGAATATATTTGAATGCTGATGAAATAATCGTCACCTAATCGATCGCGAGCCCCTGATGGCAACGAGAAGGATTCAAAACGAGGTGAGCATATTGTTATCGAGGTGGCTGCCGAGTCACCCTAGATGACAAAACACTTTTCGTCGTGCCCTCGTCAAGGCTTTCAGGATTTTAATGCAGTTTTAATTATGAATCTGGAGGGAGGTTCCCCCCCCCCTCCTTTCTCTCTCTCTCGTCACGAAACGGACCTGCGGCTGGGAAAGCTTGAACGCGTTTCGATGTACGGGAGGTACGGAGAATGAGCCGAGTTGCTTCATCATAATCCGAATTTTAATTTTGCACGAAACACGAGACACCGGTGAATCGACTCGTAAAATAAGGTCTACAAAACAAAAGATATTTTACACATTTGCTTCTACTCAATGCACGAATAAAATATTTTGTTTCCATTCTTTGGCATTCCCTAATAAAACGTTTTGTTTTTTTGTCAACCAAAATAAAAAAAAAACCGGTAACAACTGGCAAAGTGAATCGAGCATCGAGCGAACGAATTGAATGAGCGCCTCGGAAATCGCCAGTGAATTTCAAACGGAATTTCGAAGGGCTGCGCGCGAGAATTATTGACAAATCGCTGACGTTCGGGGCTTACCTCGGTATCGCCGTTACTTTTTACGAGGAAAGGGGGAACCAACAACATATGACACGTTTCTGCGAGAAAAAGGCATAAAACGCAGCGCTGGGCTGGGCCGCGCGTGTCTCCCACATGACCTCCCGCACCGTGACTAAATTTAGTGCACTTCGAGCGCATACATGAATAATGCCTGTATTTGCTTATGCGCGCGATACACACAGCCCCATATATCGACTCGACCCCGCATGGCGTTTCAAGAGACACATTTTGAGATGGCAAGACGACAGTAAGAGACGTCGGCTTGCGCTCATCATAAACTTTATACGCCAGCTTTCCAATTAAAATTAAAAATTATTATTCAAGACACACGAGCGCTTGGCAACAAATTTATGTCGCAAGAGTTATTTCGCAATATACGTTTCGCTTTAAACGTAAAAAAATAATATTACGCTCTGTTTCTACTCTCTTCTACAGTTCAATTTTTGACTTTGCAGATATCGCTGGTGATTATACGATGAATATTAATAACTATCGAACACCTTTGACAAAAAAGTTTGGCAAAAAACTTACTGATTAGCTATCCGGAGAATCTTTGTTAAATTACGTGGCGAGAAGCAAAAAGCGCGAAAGAATAGGGTTTTCTTCATCGTTACGCCGGTGCGTGAGTGGAGTAACGATGATTACTGTCGTGCTAGCAGCATTTACTCTCCGACGGCATTCGCAATTATCGGGGAGCTTCCGTTAGTTAACTGCAGTCGATACGCGGTGCACCGGGGTCCTCGCATCAAAACATCATTACTGCCCGGACACGGGAGCGCGAGAGCGTTGCCGTACTCGCAGTACTATTGGTAATCAATTTCGCTCCCGTGGCGTACTACCGGCGAGAGCCGTGCTAATGCGAGGCCTCGGCGTTCGCGTCGCATTACGGGAAATCGAAAAGGCAGTCTCGTAATGATTACGCGTTAGGAAATGTATCGAGCGGCGAGGGGGCGGGCAGGTGAGCTGGTCCGTAAAAGGATTATTTTAATTAGAAATCAAACGAGAGTGCGCGCGACTTGAAGCAATTTCCGTCGACGAGAGAGCTGGGCGATTGAAATAAATGCCTAAGAGAATGGCGTTGCGTTAAGATCAGCGTTATGATTAGCGTTGTCGAAATTTATTATTGATATTAAGTTTGCGAAGAAACCGCGGCTTCGCGCATACGCTTGACAGGATTTTCAATCAATATAGAGTGGAGTAATCATGATATAATTATTTTTATCGAATCGAACCGCTACGCGCGACTTATAGCGTCAGATTATTTGCGTAATTATCCCTTCCTGCACCCGGAACGCGCAGATAATGAGGATCTGACCTCGCAATCCTATTGGCAATCAATTTTGCCCGCGTAGCGAATTACCACGAACTAGTCTCACTAATGCGAAGCGCCGTTGCATCAGAGAAAACAGTGTCATAAGTATTGCATTCCGCAAAGTAGACGCTTATTAAGAGGCGCTCGTATAGATAAAATATCAGGAAAAACACGCGCGCTATTTCGCGCGCATCTCGCATCTCGAAAACGTGTACAGCTATATTCCGATTATTTAACAGACTTTGCAAAATATTAATGAAGATATTAGTTGCTTGGATAAAAATTGGAAAATTTGTTTTGTTTTTACCTAAAACTTCCCTGTGATTTATGTCTATATTATTTTTTATCTGACTTGTATAATCAACAGTAAAAAAAAACTGCCTTGTCCTGAGATATTAACTTCTCCTTTTTTTCTCGGTGATAGAGTTATAAAATTCAGCGGGGCAGTGCCCTCCTCTCTCCTTCGTCTGCTTTTTTAAAACAATTTTGTTGCGCCAACAGAAAGTTCGCCGCTTCAGGTCGCGCGATCGAGCGAGCGGATATAAATCTGTACGTTCATAAGACTGGCACGCCGGTGCATTTACGATCGATAAAATCATTTTATCCGAATATAATGCGCCAGTCGATTCACG